GGGGTGATTTCTCGCTTTCTGTCTCTATGTCTCTCTCTGTCTGTCTGGCGAGCGCACGCGCCCTATAGTGAAAATCTCTCCAAAAAATAATAATAATAATAATTAAGGTGCAGCCAGTAAAGAGAAACGCTCTAATAAGCTATTTATAACGAAGTGCAGAGCGGCGTCTCCCTGGAGCAGGAGTTCAGGGTTAACATGTAAGATGTCCCAGCGACTGAACAGGAGTTCTGCGGTTCCCTAGTCCCGAAACCCTCTTGGTAAGGGGACTTCGTGTTTTGCAACCAAAAAATCCTACAGGAAGGGGAAGAGCCAGGGTTAGGTGCCAAGAAAAGTGAATCTTAGGAACTTTACACATTTTTGAAAAAAGGCTCTCAAAAAGCAACAACAAAGTGCACTGTAGAAACCTCACACCTACTTTCATTTTAATAGTGTGTGTTCCTTCTGCTTTGTGACAGATAACGACCATATTAAGAACCTTTTTTTTTTTTTTTTTTTGGAGAGGTTTTTGCTATAGGGTGCGTACACTCGCCAGACAGAGAGACAGAGAGAAAGCGAGAAATCACCCCCCACAGGGGGGATGGCCACGCTGCAATCCCTTCTCCTCCATTCTCCTTCCGGGATCTTGGGCACGCATGCACACATACCCAGTGTGAGTTGAAGCCACTGGGTCCGGGACTTGAACCGCTGTCTACTACATGGGAATCCGGCGACGTAGCCATCATGCCAACGGCTGCTCCTGGGAAGTCCATTTGGGGTCATCTTGGGAATTTGGTATCAGACTTAAATTTATGATACCTGTGAGAGAGGTGTTTGAGTAGGGAGTTGGATCATTGTATAAGAGACCCTGAAATTTGGAGCTCAGAGAAATCGCTTTGACTGACCATGTAGACAGCGTCTCAGCTATCAGAGAAGACGAGATCACCCAGGGAGAGAGTGTAGACAGATAAACATTCTAAGAACTGAGCCCAGAGGTAGGGGCGATGAGAAGGAACCAGCAAAGGGGGCCCCAGAAGGAGTAGTCAGTGAAGGGTTAGAGAGCCCCAGTGTAGGGGTCTTAACAGGTATGTGATGTGTGGGTGTCATGGAGTCATCCGGGAGGGCGAGCGTTCTGATTGGCTGTTGACTTTTGTGACCTTGACAGGTCGTGTTGATAGAAGGGTAGCGATGAAAACGGGGTTGGAGTCCACTCAGAGGGAGGCGAGAAAGTCGAGGCTGGTGTAGACGGCTCTTGCTTCGATGACGAGTTCTCTGATGGCCCGCTGGGGTGTGGTCTCGTGTTCCTCCCAGAGACAGTCACTGTGATGCTGGAGCTGGGGAGCCCTTTGGGAAGCCTTTCTAAAAAAAGAATCGCTTATTTAATTTTGTTATTATTATTTCATTTTGTTATTATTTAATTTTTGATTTGACCAGAGAGAGAGAGGAAGGGAAAATGAGAAAGCAAGCCACCAGGTCTGGGACTCGAACGGCAGTCAGCCATGTGGGAGTCCAGCGCCTTGACCACCACGCCACCTGCTGGCCCCAGGAAACCTTTGTATAGCTTTCTTAGGGCGGAGGCCAGGTACTTCTCAGGGTCCTCTTTCCTGTTATAGAGTAATGGCTCTTCATCTCTGCCCGTTGTGGAGAACTTCATGCCAAGGTACGTCATGCCAGCCCCTCTCTAACAAGTTACAGCTCCTTGTCTCCTAGCAGGAGAGTGTAGTGGTCTGATCTTGAGAGGTGAGTAAAGGAGCGTTAGGGAAGAAGTGTTGGGACCAGCAGTTGGCCTAATGGCTATGTCGCTGGACTCCTATGCAGTCGACTGCAGTTCGAGTCCTGGACCTGGTGGCTTAAACTCATGCCAGGCGCGTGTGTGTGTGTGCCCAAGATCCCGAGAGGAGAATGGAGGAGAAGGGATTGTGGCATGGCCAACCCCCCTGGAGGGTGATTTCTCGCTTTCTCTCTCTCTCGCTCTCTCTTTCTCTCTCTGTCTTTCTGGTGAGTGCACATGCCCTATAGCAAAAACCTCTCCAAAAAAAAGAAAAAAAGAAAGAAAAGAAAAAGAAGTGTTTGACCTGAAAGGAAATTTATCTGGGATTGACTTGCATGAATAAAGAAAATGCAGGAATTATAGATAATTAGCTCTCAGGATAATTTTCATCCCCAAACAATTTTAGTCTCATTTTAATTTCTTCCTTCATATATCTTTAAATCAAGAGTTGTGAGCAAAAGTGTAGCAGCTTGAGTTTCATCTTTCAGTATTTCTGTCTACCAAGGTCAGGGGGCAGAAGACTCCCACAGGGTTGAGTTTTAGTTGCCCTCCCCTCCCTCGCAATGACGGCGTGAAATCATTTTGAAAAAGCTCTTGGGCCGGCAGGTGGTATGGGTGGTATGGAGGTCAGGATACCTGGATCCCACATGGGTGACCGAGAGGTTCGAGTCCCAGACCCAGTGGCTTGAAAATCATACCAGGCATTCATGCACATATGCCCAAAATCCCAAGAGGAGAATGGAAGAGAAGGGATTATGGTATGGTTAGCCCCCTGTGTGTGGGGGGGTGATTTCTCTCTCTCTGTCTCCAATCAAAACACGTACCCTGTAGCAGAAATTAAAAAATGAAAAAGTAAAAGCTCTCTGTGCATGCTGGAACATGTGGGTGAAGGGGAGGTGTAAACTCTCCGGAGACCCACACAATGTCAGAGTGAAAGATGTTAGATATTGTTTCTACAAGGCGGTATTTGGTCTGGAAAAAAACGTGCGATGTCAGTGATAGAATTACATCTCCTCATTTGCTCATATAATTCATCTCCCCAAAGATGATTGTTTCTCATACGATAGAAGGGACTTTTCTTTCAGGGGTTCATTCTCCTCCACTGAGTTCACAGAGAGGAAGAGGGGAGTGGAGTTCACCTGCTCAGTGAAGAGCTGCTGGTTTCATCCGTGAGACACCATCCCTAGCGAGGCTCCCAGAGGAGGGTCATGGTCTCTGTGCAGAATTTACAAACCCCGGGACCAGCAGTTAGCGTAATGGCTATGCCGCTGGACTCCCATGTAGTCGACCACGGTTCGAGTCCCGGACCCCCGTGGCTTAAAGTCGCGCCGGGCACGTGTGCATGCGTGCCCAAGATCCCGAGAGGAGAATGGAGGAGAAGGGATTGCGGCATGGCCATCCCCCCTGGGGGGTGATTTCTCGCTTTCTGTTTCTCTGTCTCTCTCTGTCTATCTGGCAAGCGCACGTGCCCTATAGCAAAAAACCTCTCCAAAAAAACCCCCCAAAAAACACAAAACCCTCCCTTGTG